AACAACCAGAGCCAAAGAAGAAGAAATAGATGATTTCCACCAACTTTTACAGTCGGAGATAGATCGAACATGCAATCAAGATGCATTGACAATAATGGGTGACTGGAATGCAAAAGTTGGGAATAGTGAAGAAGAATCAGTAGTCTGTCAAATGTAAGAGAGAAAAAAAAGATATGTGTCAAGACTGTAATCTCTGTACTGTTCAATCATTATGCTGAACAGATCATTTGAGAAGTTGGACTTTATGAAGAAGGATTGGAGCTCATCAAAAACCTTTTTATGCAGAAAGTTAGGAGGATTTGTAATACTTGCTCCAGAAGATCAGACTACATTCTACAATTTGAATTATATCTCAGTATCATGAAAACAAAGATCCTTACCACTGGGCCAACAAGCAATACCATGATTGATGGAGAAAGATTGAAGTTGTACACGATTTCATCTTGCTTTGGTCTATAGTTAACATCATCAATACTAGTAGTCATGAAATAGAAAGACATATTGTACCAGGAAAGTTTGCTTTCAGGGACCTCTCAAAGTGAAGAGACGTGATATCAGCTTAAAGACTAAGGTGTGACTGATTCAAACCATGGTCTTCTCAATCACCTGATATGCATCTGAAACCTAAACAATGAATAAAAATGACCATAGAAAGATTGATGCCTTTGAGTTATGGTGTTGGAAAAGAGTGCTGAGTGTCCCATGAACTGCCAAAAGAACTAGCAGATAAGTCTTGGAGAAAGTGCAGACAGAATGCTCATTAGAGGCAAGGATGGGAAACTTCCTCTCACATTCTTTGGGCACGTTGTTAGAAAAGGGTATTACTAGGAAAAAGGAAAGGAGGTGAGTCAGTGAAAGAGACTGAATCTCAACCAGATGAATTGGCATAGTGACTGCAGCTATGGTATCAAGTGTGTCAGAAATAATGACAATGGCAGAGGAAAAGATGGTTCAGATCTGCTGTTCATAGGGTCACTGTGAGCATATTCAGCAACGCTCAACAACAACAATAACAAAATGTAAAAGTTCAATTCAATGTCGGAAATACTCACATAGTTACACTTTTTTTCTTTGAAAGTTTAAAACCCACTTCTATTGAGTTGATCCACAACCATAATGACCTTCCTTCAGGTTTCTGAGGCTCTGAATCTTTACTGGAGGAAACTGCCACATTTTGGTCTCTCAGAATGCCTAGTGAATTTGAACCACTGGCATTTAAGCTACTAAAACAACACACAATGCACTAAGTGTCCATAAGATCTATTTTAATGAGTATTATTCACAAAACCTTTGATTTCTTTGCTCACCTCACTTGGTTTTATCAATACTCAAATGATGGAAGAACAGAATATATGTAAAATAACGTTGTTGTTGTTGTTATGTGCCGTCGAGTCGCCTGCGACTCATAGCGACCCTATGTACAACAGCCCTAAACTCCGCTCTGTCCTGTGCCAATCTCACTGTCTCTGACACTCCCATTCCAATTATCCCAGTCACTGAATCAATTCACCTCATAGAGGGCCTTCGATTTACATTAGATTAAATAGACATTTGTATCCAAGATTTTAAGGAGATATTCTTGGAAAAAATCCATATTAGATCAAAATAATTTACATTATAGAAAAAATAATAAATGTTTTTGATGAGAATACCTGCGGAGATGACTTTCACTGGCATGCGGTGGGAGGTGCTCTTTCTCTGATCTACTTCTATGATGAGAAAATAGTTCTTCTGAATGACTTCCATGATTTGTAGGCTTCTCCATAAATTCAGTAAGTGGATTTTTATACAGATGACTTTTTCTACTTCTCCACACAAGCTACAAAATAATTTAATTACTCATTTTATTATTACAGTACTTACTTATTTCCCATCACTAACCCAGGGCACATGGGAAAAGGATGGGCAATCTCCCCCTGTGCGATTAACTGCCTCTGAAAACCTGCCAGAGCGTCAGTTATGGGTTGGTTTTGACTCTATGGTAAACCACAACAACCACCCCTAGCACAAGAGAAAGATTCTAAAGATACATTAAAAAAAAAAAATTTGAAAAACAAAGTAAAAATGTTAACTGTTACTCATCATGACACTAATTATAAATAGCATCAAAACTGCATAGAGCAACTATTTTTATCAGTCTCTTCCTGAACTTATAACAACATTTACTCTAGGAAGAGTAGAAAATTGATATAAAAAAACACAGGTTAACTATGGTCCTCAGTTCATTAGGTATAACATATATAAAATGTATGATTTTTGCCTGGAACTGTGGAAATATTCATACTTTTTAAAATAATTGCCATCAATAGCTACAAAGGTGTTAAAGTAGTCTTCTTTTAAAAGTAGGTCTTTTAAAATAAAATCCATTTATTTCTACTTCCCAATCTATCCTTTTGGTGGTAATAAAAATAATATATAGATGATATTATGCCAAAATTTTACTAAGTGATCTAATAATTTTAACTCAACTTTGAGAATGCCACTTATTTATTTCAAAATTATTCCATTTTAAGTATTGAGTTCAAACTTTAGTAACTATTTAGCCTGCGTTTTCATAATTTGAATATATGGTGATATGTTTCTGTGATTTCATTTCATGTTGTCACATAACTGAATGTTGTATTTCACGGTTTATTTACATTTTAACAGAGATATTTCCATCTTTGTACTGTATTTTCATACAACTTATCTACCAGTGTGCTGTACTGTAGTGGCTGACATGTCGCTGTTATTCTGAAAGCTATACCATTTATCTTTCAAATACCAGCACAGCCACCTTTGATGAGCAATCTTTATCAGGGATTTTGTGTTAAGAACTAGGAAAGACCACCTTGCTATATCTATCTAAAACTGGCCAGGGAAAACTTTATGAATAGTAGTTGAACATTCTTGAACATAGTCTTGGAAGACAAGCCCATTAGGTTAAAAAGAAACACTCTAAAACAATGTGGGAAGAGCTGCCTCCTCAAAGGAGTTATTATGTACCACTGAATCAGAACCTACTCAGAGCTGACGTTCCAGTGGGTTTTCAGAGGCTACAAACCACACAGGAGGATTTCTTTTTTCCTGTGAAGCCCATCTTTCTCTCATGGAGCAGATGGAAGATTCAAACCACTTGTCCTTGGGTTGGCAGTGGAACTTCTTATCCACTAGGCCACGAGCATTCACTTCTCAAAGTAGAGTCTATCTTACGGACATGGCTGCTGTAAAGTTTTCAAGACTTCCCTTTGTAGATCCGGCACAACTCAAAATCTGAAAAAACTGCTTCAAACATCTATTAATAACTAGAACACGGAATTAATAAGTATGATTCCAGGAAAATTAGAAGTCATAAAAAATGAAATGGAACACATAAAGATCAATATCTAAGAAATACTGAGCTAGTCTCAATCAGCCAGCCATATGGTCTAATAAGCTAGAAATGACAAACAGAAGAGGAATAGTCTTGAATTCATCATCCAAAAGAATATTTCATAATATATTCTGATGCAGAATATCCATATGCTTACAAGAAAAACCAGTTAATACAACTTTCAAACTTACATACCAATCACTAATGTCAAAGATGAAGAAACTAAAGGTGTTTACCAACTTCTTCATTTTCAAATTCATAAAAAATGCAATCAAGATGCAATGATTACTTTTGACTGAAATGAAAAAGTTGGAAACAGAAAAGAATAGATAATTGGAAAATAAAGTCTTGGTGATAGAAACCAAGCTAGAGAATGCATGATAGAATTTTTTAAGACCAGTAACTTAATAGCCATCAAATTTTCTTTCATCAACATAACTGGTGACTATACAAACAGACCTCATCAAATCAAAAACAGGACTAAGGGAGCTCTGGTGGCCTAGTGGCAAGAAGCTGTACTGCAATCACAGAGGTGTGTGGTTCAAATCCACCAGATGCTCTGCTGGAGAAGGAGGGGCAATCTTCTTCTGTACCTGTCAGATCCAATTTGACAGTACACACACACACACAAATAAAATAAAATTTTAAAAAAAGAGACAGGACTAGTGGCAAGAAGCAGCACGGTAATCTTGAAGGCACATGGTTCAAGTTCACTAGCTGCTCCACGGGAGGATGGGCAATCTCTTCTCCGGTAATCAACTGCCTTTGAAAACCTGCCAGAGGATCAACTATAGGTAGTTTCGAGTAACATGGAAAGAGATAATGAAAAGGCTCTATATCACTAGTCAGAAGAAGGCTAGAAGTCAATTGTGGAATATGAGCATCACTGCTCATATACAATTTCAAGCTGAAATAAAAAAAAAATCTCATGAGAGCTAAAAGAGACGCTAATGTTATTCCACTTGAATTTAGAGATTATATCAAGAATAGGTTGGATACATTGAACATTAATCACTGTAGACCAGAGGCAGGGATGAAAGAAAAGACCACAGTGGATATCGGAAGAGCCTTTGAAACTTGCTCTTGAACACAGAATAGGTAAAGCAAATGAAAAAAAAAAAAAATTAGGCCACGAAAGAGTGAAAAAGACTTCAAAAAAGTGGCTGTAAAAGACAAAGTAAATTCTTAAAGTGTAAAGTGCAAAGATCTAGTCACAAAGGAAGAGTATGCTCAGCTTTCCTCAAGCTGAAAGATCGAAAGAAAAATCGTTAAGCTACAACTTGCAACATTAAAGGATTTTACGGGGAAAATACTGAATGATGCAGGAAGCATCAAAAGAAGATGAAACGCAAACACAGACACTCTCCCAAAATGAACCGATAGACATTCAACTATTTCAAGCAAGAGATAGGATAGATTTGAAGGCACTGATGAAAATCCTCACCTCATTGCCATCAAGTTGGAACTAACTCATAGCTGACCCTCCAGGGGACTTTCTGAAACTGTAAATTGCATGGGAGAGTGCTCATCTTTCTCCGCTGAGCTACTGGTGAATTTGAATCACCAGAAAGGCACCTTTGTGTCAGATAGTCCGTACCGACTATTTGAATAGATTACCAATCGAGATATTCTAGCAAACTTATTCTGGCAACATCACGTGCTCACTTACTGATAACAAGAAATGCAGAAAACTATGACGTGGACAATGAAATGGAAGAGATTCACATTGGAACCTTCTAAAGAACCAATGATCAAAAAAAAATGGAGAAACTAACGAACAGCATTATTACTGTAACACAGAAGGAAATTATGCATATGTAATTCTAAAAACAGTTGCAATAGTACATTGACAGGGAATTGCCAGAAATTCAAGTCATATTGGGGGGAAAAAGGGGGAGATATAGAACCCAGGATATCATTGCTGCTGCCATTTAAATATTGGCTAAAAGAATACCGTAAAGATGTTTAAACTGTTTGAATATGCAGACATTTGACTGCGTGGGCCAAGTCAAATAAGGGGAAAATATTGTGAAAACGGAATTCTAGAACATTTAATTGCGCTTGTGTGAAATCCGTACATAAACCAAGTTTGAGTCCTCTAGATGTGCCTTAAGACGAACTGGCACCATACTGGGTAATGAAATGTATCAGGCTGCCAAACTTAAAGCTGGTGGGCCCACTCACCATGCAAAGTTGTGCAGCCTTAGAAACCAATGGCTACAAGTCAAAATTGACCAGTTATGAATTGCCTTGAAAGGTCTAATGATGTACCTTGAAAATATCACAAAAACAATTCCGTGTTTCAGACAGCGCTCTGCAAGGCAGAAATCAACTCAATGGCAACCTTTTAAAAATCATTTCTGAAAGAACGCCGTCATTCCCAGGAGCTGTCAGGCTAGGAACTCGGCTCTGTTCAAGCACTCATCCACCCTGATGTACCAAAGACCACACAATTCCTAAGAGTAGAACCTCGCAGCCTTTCTCTCAATCCAAGAAATTAGACATAAAGGATGTTCAAAATGGAGCTAAAGTTGGCCTGAGGATAGACTCAAGGGAGGTTCTCTTGTGGACCCATCACTACCCCTGCTTTTCCAGGAAGAGACTGCTGGGTAACCGCCCTGAAGCACCCAAGCTTCCCCAACGATCCCCAACGTGCCCTCAGTGCGTCGCCGTGACGTCATCCCGCCGCTGCGCCTCTACACAAGGGCCTGCGAGGCTGCAGACTTGCACCCTCAAAGGTTCATTGATTTGTCCAGCATACCTCTAGATCAGCTAGGATGGAGCGGGACGCCGCGGCCAGTGACACCAAGACTAAGAAGGCAAGAGACGCCAGGCAGAACAAGGGAATCGCTCCTACTGCTTGGGGTGGAAGACCCGCCGCCAGAGTACACAGGGACAATAGCGGAGCTGGTAACCAGCCCGCTTCTGTGGCAACGACTGCCCCGCCCCTTCCGCGGACTCCATTGGCCCTTTTCTAAAAAGTTAGCGCCCGCAGAGTTGCTATTGGCGGAGGAATGTGGGTTGGGCTCTGGAGAAGTCTTTTTTGGTTTTTGTTTCTGAGAAGGGTATCTCCATAAAGAATAAAGGAACGTCCCATTAATTCAGAATATTAACGTCAAAATGTCAACACTACTAATTATCAATGTTGTTTATTATCAAGTCATAACTGACCCATAGCTGACCCTCTGGGCGGTTTTTTGAGACAGTAAATCACACAGGAGAGGTTTACATAGCGTTTTCCAGGAGCAGTAACTGTGTGTCATTGGTTTCAAACCCTGTACCTTTGCATTGGCAACTTGATTCCTCGCCACTAAACCACCAATGTATGCTGAATATTTGGCATGTTGCTGATAGAGGCTATTCCTTAAAGAGGGGACATCATACTTGGAAAGGTGGAGAGTCAGTGAAAGAAA